AAAAACGATAATTTCGTTTGATGTGAAGTGCGAAATATTTGCGGATAATTTTTTTTTAACACATTTTAAAAGCATTCCCATTACCGAACTGTCAGTTAGAGAGAAAGCATTCAAACTTATGATTGGATATTGGAATTTCTGAAAACTTCTAAAACTTGTTTTTTTTAGAAAGAATCTACAAAAAAAGATTCTGAAACAAGAAATAAACCTGAAGCGTTCATATCCAGCAAATGACTGCAGCCGCTCATTTTCATTTTTACAGCAACAATCGGTGTTGATATCGGAAGATTTAAATTCAACATTTACTAATCATTTGGCGAAAAAAATCATGACAACGACAGCATTATCACAGATGAATAATTCGGCATTAACAGCTCATCAATTGAATTTACTTAGTGCAACTTCAGCAGTAGCATCAAACCATTTGACCGGAACTACTTCATCACCAATCTGTTCCACTTCAGTGGCAATGTTTAATTCTGGCTGTCATCCACTACAACAGTACTTAAATTTAACCAATCAGTATAGTCAACCAGTACCAATGCTTCCACCAGTTACGAATATATTCGAAGGTGTCCCAATATTTCTCCTCCCTCAGTCATCTTCATGTTCTCCAGCAAGCGCTTTATACTACAATCCATATCAGCGATCTATTGCCGTATGTTCATTTTACAACATTTAGTAAAATGATTCGATCCTTCAGAGCACTATTTCTCTTTGATAATACAACTCATAGACAGTCTGACATTTAAGATATCAGGAACAGACTTACGATATTAATCATCAGACGATCTTTTATATTCGTATTTACCAGATATTTAGTAATTCAAACCGCATTATTGAAAGATCCAACATATGGTGGAGTATTTTTGATTTGTTAGAAGCTTGCAGAAATAATTCTCACCATCCTTTAAAACCATCAGGGATTGTTATTTTTGCACTGCAGTGAGATATGCAAGCTAGGTTTCATTGAAAGAAAGACTTATAAATAGTACTGGCAGTTACATATTTACAGGAAACGAGAACAAACGTGTGTCCAGGAAGTCAATCACCAAAAGTGGATACAAGTAGTATGTTTAAAACTAAATTACTGAATTTTGATTAAAATCGTAGAATTATGTGTAAAATTGAATTATTCGATTAAGAAAAAAGGGAAAAGCAAAATTGATGATCATCAGATTGGTAATTGGACGAAATTAATTCAGTCTTGATTCATTTTAGAGAATTTTCATGTATTTGTTGGCGACTTGGCTACCGAAGTAGACAACTGTACGTTGAAAGCAGCTTTTGAAAGCTTTGGAGAAATCTCGTCAGTTTTCAGACCCTCTTACAATTTTCTTCTTTACATCCTCGCCGTGAGCTTTTCCTCTTACCAGCGTTTACTATCGTTGATTGCAGAATTTTCCGAATATTTCACTTCTGTCGTTGCTTTATTGTGTACATGCATCATCATTTTCATCACTAGTTCCCCCGAATGGAATTTCCAGCAGTTATTAGATATCCCGAATTTCCTATCTTACAAGTCTGGTAAATGTTGTCTTCCGATACTGAGAGTCTCATCCTTATCACTAAAGAATCTATTATGTTTCAGTGAGGTCAAAGTGATTAGAGACCCTCAAACATTGAAATCGAGAGGTTATGGCTTTGTGTCATTCTCTCTTAAAGAGGTAATTCGTCTATCTTTTGCGTCTTCTAACTTGATTAAAGGGTTTTTTGCTATTTGCTACAGAAATCTGCGGAAAAACCAGCTTACCAACTTGGAAACAGTGCAACCCTTCATCTTCAGTAAACTCTCACTGACCTAGCAAAAGGTGTATTGCACTGTTTTATCCGAAAAAGTACTTCAATTTTTAGAGTGCGGAGAAGGCAATCGAAGAAATGAACGGACAGATGATCGGACGACGGCAAATACGTACAAACTGGGCAGTGCGCAGATCTGATGGAGGCGAAGAGAATGTGATGAAACCATCCACGTACGACAATATATTCAATGCAACCCATGCTACCAACACATCTGTTTATGTAGGCGGCATTTCACCTGCTACCACGGGTAAACTTTGATGTGCTGGACATCTTCCAGTGTGTTACAAATCGTGTAGACTGAATTTATGTATCATATTATATGACATGTGGCATCACTCATTGTTTGCATTAATCAAAAAATTGAAAATTATATGATTTTTGTAGAGAGAGGGTCTTCGGATCTTAAAACAAGTTACTGTCTTACATTTCATCATTAATTATACATACTCTGTTCCGTTTTAAACCGTTTCTCTTTGATCACAATTTGATTTAGAAGAGATTAAAAGATCTTGTAAAAATAGCATATCTTTAATCTAAGTTTCTGGGAATTTAATGGTATTTTTTTCATGATAAGATAAGCATAAAGATTTCCTCTTGCAAATTCATAATCGATTACATCTACACATTAAAGTTTAAAGATTCAGCGGAAAGAAACTTCTATTCCCGTAGTCCTCTATACAGTCTTTAAACAGAGAATTCTCGGAAAATGGTGAATCCGTTCATTCCAATCATTCTTTGCTTTGTAAGTTCAACAAGTTTCTTGAAAGAAGGAACTTGTTTCTTATTAATTTACTTCCTAGCAGTTTCCTTTTCTCTCTATAGCCTCAAATCCGTTTTTTCTTTTTTTTTAATCGAAGAGTACGTAGACCTCAATGCAAAGTTTAAGATGGAGTAATTAATGTAGTGGATAATCACATTTGGTTAGAAATATGGTATCAAAAGATTTAGGCTTATACATAATATTATAGAAAATTTCTAAAAAATGTATCAGTTGCGATGGACAGAGAAATGGACAGTTCTAGAAAATTATGTGATCTATGAATAAATGCAGATGAAGAACTTATACGGTCGTTTTCCGCAATTGCTACTGTAACCGAAGTACGAGTATTTAAACAGCAAGGATATGCGTTCGTACGATATTCGAGTAAGGAAGCTGCAGCTCGAGCTATTATGTCAATGAATGGAAAAGAGATAAACGGTCAGAAAATAAGATGCAGTTGGAGTCGAACAGCTACGGATCATAATGTAATTAATTACACTTTGAACTTACTATTTTTCCAAGTGCATAGAATTTCATAAATGACGTTTGAGGATGTGAATGCCTTATATTTGTTTTTTGAAATCTTCCATCAATGTAAATCAGTTTATGAGAAGTAGAAAGAGGTTAGGAAAGATGTAAATGTCATTAGACATACATGAACTGAAATGAAGGGATTATTCGGAATATGTTAGATTATTCGGAATGTAGTTTATCGGCATTTAAAATATCATTTCAGTCATTTTCTGCCAAAAATTTGCACATAAAAAATAACCGCGCTTTTCAGATTAATATATCAAATCAAACAGTTGGTGTAAATTTTTTGACAAACAACATCATGGGATTCAGTCCACTTATAAATCCAATAGCATGGAATCAAAATCAGTGCTCGCCACAGTTTTGTGGACATCCATTACTTTTTAATCAACATTTATGTAAGTGACGACAGGAAGGGAAAGTGTACTGAAACATTTCACATAAACATTACCAAATTATCAATTACCACATTCTATGATTTAACTTTTTTTTTCTATTTCAATAACAAATTGCTATCTTTCCAAAAAAAAGCTAAATAACCACACTTTATGCTTACATCATGTAATGGATGAAAGTCTGTAGATGAAAACTTTAATGACAAAAAAAACAATATAAAATTTTTATCAATTAGCAAAAAATTTGTAGGACTCAGACAAAGAAGGTAAAATAATCCGATTATATTTATCAATAACTAAGATATTTTATCAGTGGAAATGCCGCTGTAGTGAAATGATTTTATGTATTACATGCCATTTCATAACAAAAAATTTCCTGTAAAAAAAGAAAATTGTTGGTAATTTAATTGCGAATCATTGATTTAATTTTTGCTTGAACAAGAATATTTTTTAACAACCTTTTCTTCCAAGGAATTTTTTGTTGGGAAAAGGCATCAGTATGTGTTTTATGATACTGACCGAGATATAACTGGATAATAAACATATTAACAGTCTAAAGTTGTTACTTCCATAAAATTAAGCCTTAATCTTGCTACAAAACAACAGTTCAATTACGTCAAAGTACTCGCAATTTTAACTACTATAACATATTGATTATCTAAGAGGCAGTCACTACCGAAAGCTTTCTCAGTTCGTTATATATATATATATATATAAACCTTTAGGAAACTGATAGAGATAGAGAGAAAACCGTATAGTATGGGATGGGTTCGAACAAGAATTTGTACGAGTTATAGCATAAAAAAATAAATGAAAAGATTTTTAATACGACAAAAATTTATGCTAAATTCTACACACACGTGATAGTATTAGACTTCGATACCAACTATTAAACCAATTTGTTCAATACGTTATTAGCAGATTTTGTTGTGATTATTCAATTTTTACAGCAATTTTTCTTAACTTACGTAGTGATTGTTGCCGATATAAGTACGGAATTAACGGGATCTTTTATATTGTATGCTATTTTCTGTTCATGTTACTATTCAGAAAGTGCAATGAAATGGAAATGCAATGATGAGAATCTGATTACACTATGATTAGTGTTAAAATTAAGTTGAATTCTGTAAATGCATTTCTAAATGATTTATTCGTCTTTCAAGATTTGTTGTTCAAAATTTTCACGAAATTTTCTTTCAAGGATTTCATCATGATATTGAACGTTGTAGCTTTGAACAGCCAAGAAAACTACTAGTCCATTTTCTCATTTGCCAATAAATTGTTCGGATTTTTGCTAGCTATTTACTTGTCTTCTATAATCCTATTTCTCCCTAAATAAAATATTCACCTTGTCACACTCATCACAAAACTTTCAAATGATTACAAAGGTAATATAATTAAATGCTTCACTGTCGTCTTTTCTTTTTTCTCACGTTTCATCCCATAAAATTGACTCCATTAATACAAGCAATCTATCTATTGTCGAAAATAAAGTTAAGTAAGTTAGAAGAAATTTAACGATGCACATTGGGAATGGTACCTACGCAGACAGGAAAGATAGACTGGAGATTTGATGAACTAATTTATTAGATAGTCCCGATCTTAGCAATCTTGATGTCCTGGATAGTCCTATTCCAAATAGTTCTGTGAATCTTATTGCTTCAGTAATTAACTAATTATTAATTATTAAGGAATATTTCCAAGGGATATTTTCGTCCGCAATCCTTCTGAGATTTTTTAAGCATATGATTTGGAATGTTAGCAATCTCCAATGAAGAAGATTTCGAATAATTCTAAGTCTTTCAACTTAAATCATAAAAATAAAAAATGAATGCGATAAAGCTGCAGGATAATTGTTTGCATTGTTTGTTCAACTTCTTCCTTTTCTTGTCTTCCTGTTCTAGAATGGAATGTCACAAAAATGAAATAAAAGGCGACAGCTTAAAAGCAGGAATGCTTACTCCAGCGGTGCACTCACAATATTCAATGCTTTTCAAAACCAAATTCACTAAACTATGAATCTATCAAATTCAATTATGATGCAATTTTGTCAAGTGGCATCACTATTTCCGAAACGTAATTGCATCTAAAAGTTGAAAGCCGAATACTTTCAGGTTCAATTAAGCTACCATGCCGAAAATACCTTTTTTATGAATCTTTGTTCTCATGAAGTACATAATCGAATTCTTGAGAAATCGAACTTTAAATAAATGCATTCTCGTCAGTCTCTGCTTAAAATTAGATTGAACGGTTGGGTGCTAAACGACGGAAATCTTTTGCAAGAAAAGAGGGTGGCTTACATGTCTGCAAGTAACCTACTTTAGGAGGCAGTTCCGCATGAAGAGAAAGACACAAATGAATGACTGGGATCCTTTTCTAATTTCATGACTACTCTGTGGATCCAATTAATACAAAACTCAATTTACTGAATGAATATCCTACTCTAATTTAATGTCAAGAGAAAAAAAAAAACATTCCTTATGTTTCGTCTTTGTAGCATTGCTGCCACGAACTTATCCTCTTAAAAATCTGCGGACAGCTTTATTTAATACAATTAACTTCGGAAAATTATGTTTCTCAAAGATCCTCAAACTCCAACATTCCTTTGAAAGTACAGGAGCAGATTAGTTTCTAATATGAACGACGCAACGCCTTTTATATGTCTCTTCTCACTTCATATAAATAATTTATTGACTTTTTTCTACGCAATGCGTGAAACAGAAACACATTTCAAAAAAAAAGAATGAGATGCTCAGCCAAACTTTTAAAAAAAAGCAAAGACAGTCACCGAAGTGATGATGATTTTGCCCTAGAAATGTAAATCACATTGGTAACTGAAACGGTGACCTGTAATTTATTTCACCTCGTTATAATGTTGTAATAATAATTTGTGTAACGTTATAATTAGCAGTTTGTTATTCGAAACTTATTGTAATTAATTTAAACGGTAATGCATTAAATAAGTGAATTGATCAAAAAATAAGTTGTGAAAGATGTCTTACAGAAAAAACCTCAAATTTTCCAAAAACGAAACAATATATAGAGGAAGAAAAACATGTCTGTACTTTTTGATGAGAAAAATAATAGCACAACTCCTCTAAAAAATGAACCAACAGCAAAGATAAACATTATAAAGGCAACACCGAGCAACAAAGAGGTATTACAGTAAGATTTGTTTCAGGTCAACAAAGTAATCCCGTATTCCCAAGACACATATCAGGCTTTTCAAAATGCTAGGAATAAATGAGACAGTGAGCAATAAAATAATGTCAGCAATTCATTCAGATATTTTCCACTACACTACTAACAAGACTATCCGTATCAGCATCAGCACTATCACTAATCAGCAGATTCTCGAAACCCCCGCCTTCATCATCATTAGCCAGAACAAACCGTTTATGTGATCTAAATATGATTAAGTTGCTAAGTTATAAAACTAATTATAAAACTAATCCATATTCTACAAGTTGATCTTATCTTCAAAACCCAATAAATTTTTAAACGAAATATAAAAATGAAGAAAATAAAAATTGCTCACGTGATATCCGCCAAAAAATAATGTCTATTCGAATTGGTAGGCCAAAATAAATGCACCAAGCACGCGACTGCCGCAAAATTTGCGGCTGCTGTTATGGCTAAAAAAAGCATAATAATGATAACACTACAATAACTCTATTTACAAAGAGACATCTGATAACTGTGAATAGATTAAAATAAAAGTTAGATAATAAGGAACAGATAAAGCTACAACTTACCAAGGATTATTTTAAACCTCCACAATTCAGATACAAAAGAAGCAATAATCCCAAGACCTAAGATATAAACAAACCATACAAGAAAACCAGCACCGAAATGCGCCAAGAAGATTGCTTTTTGCTCATCAATCTCTCTGCAATTTATATGGGTGAAAATTATGACGATCATCCTCAAGTGTTATTATGAAACCATTAAACTAGGACTAACTCATTTATCAGGCGGCGAATTTGTACCAAAAACCAGAGCGTTTGCAGCATACGAATCATAAGCATTGCGTAGCCTGGCCAAGATTTAAATATGTCGACATCTTGCAGTACGTCGTCAACGAAAAACTGCATATTTTTCAACAAATAACATAAGCAAATGTTAAGAATAAAACTAGGAAGAAGAAAAAACAGTCTCAAGCACCAATCTAGAATGAAATTCAAATGTTTTAGAGACGGAAATGATACAAAAACATACAAAATTGATGAAAAAGAGCAGGAAATGAGCAGATGTAAGAAGCCCCCAGACAATAATAATTTTTTGATGTAGCAAAAGTTCACTACTGTTGCCGAATGACCAACCACAGCTAAGTAATATGAGCAGTAAGCAAAGAAGGCACGTCGACATCAAACGAGCAATTTCACCAAGGAAACGAGCAAACAATGCTCCCTGAAAATAAAAATGTATTACTTCGTCAGTTAGTAATGTTATCTGAAAAACTTGCGTTTACATAAACTTGAAACTTGCCTGGCCATCAAAAGAGAATGTGACAACATTTAAGCAGTGCAAAGCTAGACCAAATGCTTTCAGTACAATAATAGAGTTAAGAAGCTTATGGCGCGGAAAAACCAATGCAGAGTTGCATAATACCACAGAACGCCACTGACAAAATCCAACCACTATATAGAGTATAAACAAAAGCATGTATATCTCGGCAGAATTCTGCAAATAACCACATTAACAGGCAGCAAATCGGAAAATGTTTTCGAAAAAAAAACTGAAATCACATAATATCTTTTACCGACATTCAAGCCGAAATGTAATCTTATTCATCTTGAGAAAGAAAATTGAAATATACTTGTTCTTCGAAGCTGAACTGATGGCCGAATGGATTCAAGTAACGCATAAGAGGACTTCCATTTGTAAGCCATAAATCATAATGTACAATAATTTCCTTGACTGAAGGTTTCCACAAACAGGAAGAGTCCAAATAACAGGCAGCCATCATCACATACCAATATTGAGGAGTTGACGGTTCCTCTATCCTAAGAGTCATTTGTGAACCATTTACTACCTGAAGAGTAGTGTAAATCATGTTAACTATTCGTTAAGTCAATCGTTATAATTAAACTAAAAAACTACTACATATGCCTTCCCAGTTGAATACGTTTAGATCCAACTTATCTTTGAGAAATTTATTACGTACAAGACAAATCATTTGCAGAACAAAGTCTCACACAACAGCGCCAATGCGTTAAATGTCATTTAGAGAGTAAAGCAGTATATAACAATAAACTGGAACCTTTCCAGGCATATCTTCCTCAATACAAAGTTTTCCTACTGGACACGGAATCCACCTCATCACATCGCCTTTACCATTCGGAAAGCACTTCGTTTCAAATGCAACTGAACTGATATTCTGAAGGAAGTAAAAAACGATCTTTTTTTTACTTGACCCTTTTCTAAATGTCAATTCTGAATAAAAATGCAAAACTCACTGATGAAACGTATATTCCTAACAAGTTATAACCATGTCGCAATGAATTAACTGTGAGAGAGCTGTGAAACTGAAGGAACATTTCGAAGTATCAAAAACTTTTCTTTCTAAAAATTGTATACTTGCAGATGTATGGAAAAGGGGTAAAAATGCAAAATCCACGGTAAACATAAACAGTTAAGCACTATGTAGTCCACTAAACTCCAAAATGGTGAGCAACAAAATTTTCTATCAAGTATTTTTGAAATACCTGCAGTAAAAAGTCACATGACTGTTCGCGCGCTGTTTTGTTAAGAAATCCATTGATAAGTGTTCTCGGTACAATCAGCAATACTCCTCGTGCTACAATAGTAAAAATCAAACGGTTAAACAAATACAATATGTTGGAAGAATTTTAATCGTTTAAAACGGAGATTTTACTNAGTAAAATCTCCGTTTTAAACGATTAAAATTCTTCCAAAAAAAAGAGAATTACCTCCATTAACTATCTCTGATGATACATTGCCATAAACAAATCCACGACTATGCTCCACATCCAACGGATCTATCTGCTGGAAGCCAAATTTAGCAAGGATTGAGAATCGATTATTGCGAGAGCTCCAAGTACCAACAATTCGTACGGCTTGACTTCTTTGTGGTATAATGTAATAAATTAATTCAAATAGTAAGATATAGGAAAGACTGTGGAAAGACAGATATTGACTCATTCTCGATGATCATTTTCTTGCCTTTATATGGTAATTTGCATGATGATTTGAATCCAGACGATAATTCACACGTGTCCTATAAATTTTACTTCTAAAATTGAGCAGTAAAAATTGTGAATGCTTTAGCGCAGTTCATATTATCAAAATATCTTATTCCATTTAACCATTTTGTCTCTTAATTATTTTTTGTGCTCATATAAGCTAGAAAAGTCTTAAATTCTGTCGGTCGAATAGATCTTCTCTATTTCCATCCCACCGTCTAATACCAGACTACCTTACCTCAGGACAGATACATCAACTTCACAAACGTTCACATTTGTCTAAAAGTATATCTCTTCACTTATAAAAAAATTCCATTGGAAAGTTTAGTCAGCCGCAAAATACCAGCCAGAAATGGAATTTGAGTGAATAATATGGGAAGAAGGGAAGGTCTGAGAAATCTTGGAGGATTAGCATACGTTCTCCCTGCGGAAGCCGCTAAATGAACATATTTCCCGCATGTGTGGGAATTTCAGTAGCGTTTGGACAAAACAATAAAGAATATTTTATGTATCATTCGTTGCAGAATTTCTTGCTTTTTTCTATTCAGTCCTCTAAGATTGGTGAATTTTCGCGGTTTAATTTTGACATACTTGAAATTCCAACTATTAGCAAACCATAAAATGTAGTTGTATTAATGGTTGGCGTTTAAGTTAGTGTTTATATTATACTGACATCAAGCATGCCTTCAATAATGGTAGTTTATCATTTTGCACGAAGAAAAACAATCCGTGACTTCTATCAAAATAAAAATGACTGTTAAGTTCCGAAATCTTTAATCTAAGGAGATTCCGATGTTTCAATATGTTGGAATCCAGAATGATTAGATCTAAATTTACATGGGCAGAGTAATAAAAGCTTTCTTGCCGAATATATACAACACATGAGAGATAAGACTTACCTGAAATATGATGTCAGCATCTTTTGGAGAACCGCGCAAAGTGTGGCGGTTTGGGTCGCTTAATTTGCCATCGATATGGAAGTTTGTTTTTGTTATTATTCGGAAAAAACATTTCACATTTTGTTGAATTTTGTATATTTATATTTTAATGGATTGCTTGCTTCTTGAGTGTACTTTAGATTATTTATTAAATGCTTTTTCCAAAATGCATCAAGTATAGTGAATTAATATCAGGTTTCTTGAGTAATATTTTTATTAAATAAACTGATGAGATCACTAGTAGCTCCTGTACAACAAGTTCAAATTTATGACAACTAAAATAACAGGAGCAAACAAGTTCAAATCTATGACTATTAAAATAACGGCAGTAAACAAGTTCAAATTCATAATTATTAAAACAATAGGAATGAATAAATTCAAATTTACAACCGTTAAAATAACGGAAGTTAACGCTAGGATGAACACTATTTAACCTTGATCTTTCAGCATTCTGAAAAATAGTTCCTTCCAGCGAGCTTACCTAGTACCAAAGTTGCTTATATCATGATAAGCAAATTTGTCATGTGGAATAATGGACTAATAGTGCAGGTATATGGTATGCAACGTCGTTTCAATCTTGACATTCTGTCAGTTAAAACCTTGACATTCTGTTGCGTTTTTTCGAAATGAGAAATAACGATCAAATTTGTTTTGTTATTCAAACGTTTTGCTTATAAAGAATGACCACAGTATCGCAGTTAAAATCCTAAAAGGGATTTACGCTGTCTTACTGTATGGGTGGCAAAACATTGTCGTCGTAATTTCTCTTGTCAAGCACATTTCCGGGTGGATCATATTTAACAACGACATAAATCAATGTAGATGGGAAATCGGGCTGACAATTTTTAGCGCGGCGTCCATTGAAGTGTCGCATTGCTACGCCAACACCTATTTGTGTTGTGGACTTCCATACAAGTTGAGTAAAGTGTCCAGTGCGATGATAATCCAAATGATGATGCCTGGAAATAATTCCTAGTTGTAAGAATAACAGCAAATTGTTCATTGCTAAAACTATAAAGGCGAAATTTGCAATCTCATCATTTCATATTTTTCTTCAGTAATTCTTACATTGACATCTTATTGCGGTGCAAGAATGGAAGTGATTGAATAACATCGAAGTACGGTTGGACACGCTAAGCCTGTTAACTTAATTTCTGGACTGTTCATAATTATGAAATTGTATGTAGATCTACTGAACAAATGAAGCGTCCTTCTCTTGAACATGACTTCTAAATACTACATATTAATTAATTTTTCCATTTTCAGATGGTCAAGAGCGTAGGGTTAACAAAAGTTATGCTAGAGAAAGACGGTAAGATTGAATTGTTCCACTTTTTTGATCGAAAATAACTTCAGCGAGGAAGAATGGAGACACTAGAAATTCACCTAATGCGGTGACTTATTCTCAGCAATGCTGTTTGACATTTTCGCAGTATTCAGGGTTGATTGTAATATCCGGTGCAAATTCTAAGTGAGAGAAATCATGTTGAAAAATGTGACTACCACTGACATCAATTTTAATTTCCGGAAACGGGGAAGGGAAGAATGCTTTCTTTCAGCGACAACTACTGTGTTCTATTTTCTGTCACCGGCAACAACCATGTTACCTTATATTTCAATCTACTTTACGTATTTAGACTTTATGTTTACATGTCACCTGAGATGTTCACAATACATCATGATGGGAATGTATTATAGACACTTTGTACGTGGCTCGACTTGCATCAGGAAAAATGATAAGCCGTAAGCAATAGTAATACGAAGCGATCCATGTTTCTGAACAGTATCACGCGTGCAGTGAGCGCAATATTGCTAATTCGGGAATTAAATTGACAGACCATACATGTTTAAGAGGCATAAAATTAAATTAAATGGCTTAAATAAACGTCGGAAATTATGAGCTTTTCAGAAAAGTCAATACTAAAAATTTCAGTTTGCAGTCAATTGCATTATAAAAAATATGGTGCACTAAATGATTCGACAGTTTTGTTTCATCTTTTTAAAATACAGTTTTATGGTAACTGACGTTTCATAATTATATCCATATGCTTCAAGATAGAAGCTTTGTACAGTCATCAGTGCCATTGTTTCTTCATCTGGTAATAAATCCGTTGCATAATAGAATAAGTTTTCTCCATATCTGTCAATAATTAAAATTATATTTCAGTAATAACACTATATTCACTTTTAATTTTATGTCGACGTAAAAGAAAGATCCATCGTATACATTTCAGGTAAGGGGGAGCGAGAATAAATTCTTTATTCAAATAACCTTTTTGATGGGTCGTGTGTCAAACAATCTGCCTTGTTAGCTAAGTGTTCTGCCCATGCTTCAGCTATTCGTCCAAGCTCACTGTTGACTCCAAGCAAGCCGACACCATGTCTTCGACGGTAATCATTATGCCGATTAACGAGCTGCAAGAAATAAAGCAGTGTTTTTCATCAATTAGAATACCACTGTATTTAATTAAGACTTATAAAAGTAAGAAGAAGCAATAATTTATTGCTTAAAGAAAGATTCAATAAAAATAATAAAGCTTAATCGTTGACGAAATGCACTGATTGTATGATTGGAATAATTTAATATTTTCAACGTGATATCCGGGAATCAAGAAAAAGGCGAATGAATTAATGATTCTCGCAAGAGAATTTCTTTAAAAACTAGAACTTAAAAAGAAAGTCTTATCCTGAATAGTATGCAACCTTTAAAATTTCACCTTTCCATTATCACTATTTTTCCATGTTTATTTGGTCTGTACATTTTGTCGGAACGGTCAATTCTGGGAAATAACCATCGAAGTTTAAATAAGCATCCATTTTCTATCAACATTTTTCTATCAACATTTCAAAGGAAATAATAATACCTTTACTTATCTTCCTACCCACTCATTATTTAGGAGACACAAAATTAACGGGGTAAAATGGACAATGATGACAGAACACGCAAATTCAATGCGTTTTGTGGCAGTTCTTTACAGGTATTTCCTGTAATTTATCATAATCGTATTGCCATTACATTATATATCACTTCAAAGCACTTACCTACACATACGCTCGCATACACGCACTTAAAAAGGAAACACCCACACACATGCACACACACATACACACACATACACGTACACACATGCACACAGATACACACGCATACACAGGCAGGTACAGGTGGGTATAGGAATGGGAGTAGTAATGTAACTATAACTGACTGTTCATACTAATAATCTTTTTAATTGAAGCGCGCCATTTCCAATTTGTACTTTGCAAACTATCTGATTTTCAACTTTCAATTTTTTCTTCGCAAAAAAAACGAAATGATGCACTACTATTACGGCCACTTTACAACACTCATTCTCATTACTTCTAGCAAAAGTTCACGGTATTTGTAGAGTAAACTCATACAATATCATAAACTATTATCATTCATTTTGCCCATCATAAAATTTGGAGAAGCTGAAAAAAAGAATTGATATAGCTAACACATATAGACATCAATACAAGTATTTACAAGTAGAGATATATTTGTTGAAAAAGACAAAAGTAATGCTGTTAGTAGTGATTTTTATTAAAAATAAAAGAAAAAGAAACTTACATTATCTTTGTAGAAAGCAATATTGAAATGAGAAGGTGATAAATGATGCTTTTTGGCACTTTGTAGTAAGTATTCTTTGATTTTCGCAATCTGAATGAAATGAAGTTTGTTTAAAAATGATATGAGTGACCAAAAATCTATCATTTTTCATTGAAATGACTGTATGGTTGATTGAGATCAGTAATGCGCGACGAATACGATATCGTAGATTGATGCTAATCAAAAAGAAAATCTTTCAATCTTCCTAGACTAAGCTTTCAAATTAAAATCCTTATAATAGTACATTAACCGTTACTTATAAAGTATCGCTTAATATAAAAGGATCATTATGATTTTCTTTCCTTCTAACTTGACCTTATTTTACGGACATTAACTGCAGGCCAAAATTCAATGCAATTATTTCATTTAGCACTTTGTACTTTTTTACAAAAATTTCTTCCCTTACAATACTACTTCCTTATTCACTTTTCTTATTTCCTCAGCTTTTATAACAATATTAGAACTACTAAATTATTTTTATTGAGCGTGAAATTTTTCAAGAAATTCGAAGTATAGCACCGGTAGAAACATGGTTAGGCTCTCAAGAACCATCATCATCTTAATGTCATTATTCACATTGAGCTGTTCAAATTGTTAAAAAAACAGATGGGCTGAATGATAAATTAGGCAAAAATCGAAGTAGTTATCAGCAAGTAGCTGGTTTGGGAATGTTTACTACGAAGCCTTTTCGTCATCATTAGGAGACAATTTGTCTGCCAAAAATTTTACAGATGAGAGCCATGCATTGAAAACAGTTCTTACTGACAAAATTATAATTATTGTATCAAGATGATAGCTTCTTTAACTTGGGTAAATCAAGATGATAGCTTCTTTAACTTAGGTAACAGTATCGTAATAAATAACACAACTAACTCTATGAGAATTTCTGAGAAATAGCTCTCTTTCACTCAATTTCTATTCAACAAAAACTTCTATTGCTTAAAATATTCACAATATTCATATTGAAAAAAGATCTATTAATTTCTAAGTTTTTCAATTTGAAACTTACACTATTAAAATCCTTTATGCTTGTTTCTATGAAAGACAATTTTTTTAATGATTTGGATGGCCAACGTTCCGTCTTGTCAGGTTGTACATTAGCAGACAAATATATTTGCTTTGAATCAGTTAATGGAACATTGGACAAACAGATGTAGTTGAGCCTAAATATAAAAAAGTATTAGGCTTATACAACAATAAAACTGATTTTAGTGATACTTCTGCTTCTGTTATGCGATGTGATTAAATGTGAAATGCAATTATGGGTTGTATTACTGGATGAATCCGCTTTTGCAAGGAATACAATTCCGACAGTGTCTATCCTTGGAACATGACAATAAAGCGTTGTTTTTGAATCTGGAATTCGTAATTGACTGGTACTGGGGATCGGTTAAATAATGCGAGCCAATTCTAATTTCTATGTACAGCAGATTCTGCAAAGATATAATTATGATTCTTCAAGAATTAGATGTAAAAAAAGACAAATTGAAAAGTAAGAATGATGCCTGAATGGAATTAGCTGCCACTTGGGCCACGAGACATTTATTGTATTGAGGATTATGAATGCAGCTAGACGAGTACAGTGCTTGTGGTATCGAATTATACGCTGTCTGACCGCTGACAACTGTCGAACAACTACAACCGTTATTTCTTTCCGGTTCCGCAGTTTCGTTCTCACAAGCGCAAAATCTGTAATAAATAATCAATAGCACTAAAGCTGTATGTTTTTTTCTGCTCGAATGAATTCAAAGTTTGATTTCGTAAATGATTTTGAGTTAAAATTGTGAATTATTGCTAAATGACCGCTGTATAAAGCTGATCTGAACAACTCGGTAGCATAAAAGATGTTTAATAGAGTGATGTCCGAATATGTCTTTTTCATCTTCATTTTTTAAAAAATTTCGATCCAGTTGATAAAAATTGCATAAACACTGCAGATGTAATATGATTATTATTAGCATTTAGTTTTAATAACATTAACATAGAAGACATGATAAAATACGAAAGTGCTTTTCACCGGAAATCGTATCGTTCGTTTTTGACTTCATCTATTTCTGATGCTCCGAGTGCTTTGTATTTTTGTATAATTATTTCAATTGTCCTGTAATTCTCCTGCAATTCACTTTCTTGTAATACCTTATTTCAATTCCAAATTTGGAGAAATTTGTTTTTTTTTCTTTTAAAAATGAATTATTCTGTTGATAAATGTTTAAAGTATTATTGAACGATAATACACAAGTTTTGTTCAAAGTTTTACTTTTTTCATTGTGATAGGAAAGTCATCGAGAGAACAATCCATTCATTCAATGGATGACTGTGCAATTGACACTTTTCATAGGGACAAATAGTTTAAATAATGTTCAATAAGCAACTGGAACATAGTACCTTTTCCTCAACTTTGCTTTATCCTCTTTTTTCAGATTGAAATTACTCAACAAATAGCCTAAAGAAAGTAACTTTCTTCTAATTAAGCTAATTTCTGTTACAACTACATACTGTTACTATAAACTGGTCAGACGACATCACGACTTATTTTGAGTTACGTAGGGTTGTTTAGCCATTGGCCGCTCTTATCAGAATTGAGAAATAAATTAAGAATAGGAGACAGACTAACTTTTCTAATAATATTAGAAATACCAAATGAAGCCAATGAAGCCAGAAGGAGAAGAAGTACAAATTGGACCATTGCGTTGTTCTCAAAACTGAAATGTTATGCGTCGCTATGTATGTTTCTGAATTTTTGAATCGTTAATAAAGGGCTGATGGGCGGAAACCGGATAGTGACCTTGTAATCATCTACAATTACTGCCTGTTTTTCTATTATTGCCCGCCTTCCTTCATCTATTTTTTTGGTCTACCTGAGCGAAGGTGACGCTTATGTGACATCCATTACAAAAACAAGTGACAAATTTTGATTATCCCTTTTCTCATCGATATACGTTCTCTTCCTTTACTGGTCATTCTCAGTAGATTAACTTGTACTCTCACTTTGCTGACATCAACAGGTTTCTCATGGTTGTTAAGCTACCCAAAATGATAAGCTTCAAGAGCAAATCATCTCTCTTTATCTTTTATCAAACTAAAGTCATCTCAAATTTCTTACTTAACAGTAGCTACAAATCAGCATCAAACGACATTGTTGTAGAGTTACAGGCTCTCATTGTTTATATATTTTCAACTCCAAACGATATAAAAGCGAATAGTAACGCGGTAAGATGCGAGAAAAAGATTTATCAAAAAAAACATTGAAAATCACTTAGGAAAACATATTTATTTTCTTTATCGTCCTCACTAACACATCTTGCTGGCAATTAATTATACAAAACCAAAATTGTTATAGACAAACAATTTCGATCTCTTAATCCATATATATTCCTCAAAAATATGGAAAAAAAAGTGAACGAAGAGAGTGATACTAAAATTCCATCCCTAAAATTATTGATATCCATTGTCTTAAAATAATTAACATATATATCTCGCCGCTTTTCTAGAAACGCATCAAAAAGTCTGATTGAATAATAATAATAAAGAAATAACAATTAATCAGGAAATTAATATTGCAATAATATTTTGAATAAATGATAGTGCATTATGTTCATGATTGGAAATTAATTATGTCTGTTTGTTGCGTCACTATCATTTTGAAGGATAACGTATAGAATTACAGAATTAGAATCATGTTAATTATTTGTATCAGTGCAAATTAAAACCTTTGTGACTTACCCAGGAAGAAATCTAATTCGATTTATATGGCTGGAAATACATTCATCATTAAATTAACGATGAGAATGTTAAGTTTCTTTTTAAAGCCAAAACTTCTATGAAGCATCCTCATCATTGACAAGACTCTTAAAAAATAGTTGGCGGTCCGTTATCAGGATTATTTCAAAAACTGACCGTTGTAACACGGCACTTTATGATATCGGTTTATTTGATTATATTTTATCTTTATCAATCTTATATTTATTTACTCTTGTTTCTAAAACATTATTAAAAATGTATAAACTGGAAATCAATGTTGCATTTTCTTAGCCAAATTTCTTAACAGTGCAGTTTTTTCCCCTATCCTAAGCGAGCTAAAATTTTCTATAGTATCATCACTCATTTCGTGCCTCACGATGTTTTTCAATTTTGTTATTCTCGATGAAGATAAAATAGTGTAAAATTGCAAGTTTGAATGATTGAGCTTGCAACATAATATTGCTTGACCAGTAATACCCTTACTGATTACTGCTTTAATAGTTCAACATTTTTCAGAATTGTCTACAACTTTGAAATGTTCAGATCCATATCTCAAATGTGATAAAAAGAGGATATAGTGATCGTCTTTGCCGGATATGTTTCATTTTTGTGTTTTCACTTTATTATTACCAATTTATTTGACATTATATTAGAATCAACGTTTTTTTTAGTCACATGAATCTTATAAATTATTACTCATCTTCCGGGTTGAACTGAGTAAATTTGGAATAATTTGCCAAATTTTTGATGAAAAAGTTTGTAATCAGCAATGGTAATAGCCAACGTATTACTCCAATGCATCAAATTTCCGGGCAATTTAAAAAGTTGGTATTTTTTGAGCAAAATTGTGTAATATTTATGAAAAATCAGAAATTAAAAGCAGAAAACCCGTTTTATTAAAACGGTTGCCATTTAAAATGGGAAATTAAGTGCATAGGTCATCACCAATAAAGAACATTTTAGCCCACTCATCCTACACCCTTGCTTCCTAGCACTGCTTGTCCATTTTCGAAGTGCTTAATCAACAAATGAAACTTAAAAAAGAACACCATGTTGGAAAATTTTCAATAGCTCCAGCAATAATTCATAGCTGCAAGGATGTGTAACTGGATAAGCGAGATGTATACATTCCAGTAATCTTACTTGAGTAATTAACCATCGGCAATGTGTTAAATAATTTGCACAAAAAACTTTTGTCTTATTTCACATATTTTTCACATATAGAGTAAAAAACGCGGTTAAAGTTAAACTTATACCCATCTTTATGTTACTCGACGATCCGACTTTAAATAGTGGACGATAGAAAATAATAGGCCTAAATTCCTCACCATCAATCCACTCAGGCTAACCGACTACTAGCATATAGCACCCGATAGCTTTTTTAGAAGCCTCACAACCTAAATATGATTTGAAGTTGGAAATCCGCAAGCACCTTGGCAACTTTATTACTCATCAACCATAGTTTTACAAACTTAGCAACCTGAGCCACCTGAGCTAAACAATCAAATACCGTGTGTCCGTTGACTGATTCAAAGGAACTGAAGATGCACAAGTATAAAATAACTTCCCCTTGCAGATTTAGGAAAGCACGCTCTCACAGACAAAGCGTATATAAACATTTGAGTAGCTTGAAAATTTTGAATCTGATATCGCTTGCTCGTTTTGCTCCTTTAAGTTGATGTCACAGAACAACAATTTTGGTACTTATATCCATATAGAATTAAAAGCGACCAAGATATGAAACTGTATTAGATAAAAGAAAGTAGAAATCATACATACATCATGCATATCATACATACATACATACACACATACATTGATGGCATATCTCATCATTTAAATTCTTAAACAAACAAGCACAAGCATTGATCATCTGAACAAAACATTTTAAATTTGTGTGCTATAAAAAGGATAAAAGCGGAAAGACACCAAAACAAAGAGTAAACGAACAGCAGTAAAAACAAAAGAAAAATAGGAATGACTGCTTTTCTAGAAACATCCGAATTACTTCCCTGAGCTCCTTCATCCTTTTTAAACAATATGATATTGCCTTTCTTTTTTTTTATTGCAACTCATCATTACTGTTGTACAGTGCTTCCAAATACCGAAAGGAAGAGCGGCCATATAAGAATGCTTACAATACGTTGAGCAAATAATCAGTAGAATGGTTTTACAATTGTAAATATTCAAAACACTTGCAAAAAGTGAAAAGAAGCTAGCTTTATATAAACATAGCATTATTAATATAACTGCTGGTAATTCAGCCTGTTGATGAGCACGCTGCAGCCCATGGTAACGCCTAATTGATAGACTTTGAGCTTACTTCCCTGTCACGGAATTAACAAGACTTTCCAATAACTACAAATGTAAGCATAAAAGGATGAAAATGAGAAGCTACACACAATATGATCATATTGCCTTTCTTTTTTTCACATATATCACAGAGATACACGTAAGCACTAAGAATTCTTAGAAATGAATGCGCATGAAAACAATAAAAAAATCTAAAAATGACGATAGAAGAAAAAACGACATAGGGGAAGTGTCGTTTGGAAGGACAGATATTATTCTAAATATGGACATATGCTGACAGTATGCTATATAATATGGACATATGCAGTGCAAATCCTTCAATAATAAATGGAGAAATTTGTCCGATTCATCTAATCTCATGTCCAACAGACTAGCAAAGAAAAGTAACTTTTAGATTTGTTGACCTCCGAAAACTAGAAAAAAAATAAAAATATTATAAAAATTAATCCATTATCACAACCATGTCACTTCTTGCCTTTCTTAGAAGTAGAGCTCTTCAAACCGCCTTTTTTCTTAAGCTTCTTTTTTGCACAGTTTTGACAGTACCAAGGAACGTCATCTGGCGGTGCAACCAGTAAACCCACACAATTCCTGAATTATTACAGAAATGCCGTTGAATTTATGCGCACAGTAGTCAGTAAGCATCTTCACAGTATAACATATATTAAAAAAAGAACTTACCAGTGGAACCAATTGTCACAGGCATCACAGCCGACCATATCAGTTGCACCTTCCACATATGCCACTGAACATTCCGGACAAATCCACATAGTATCCAAAGAGTCATCGCTATCCAGAGTGGCTGATTTCTTAAATGAACAAAATGCAAAATTTAAAACGACTGCAATCAATGTTTGTTATGATTCTTCAGTTCAATAATCACGAAGCTCAATTCCGCCCTTGGCTTCAATCCATATTTTACAAATTTCAGGCAAATCCATCTCACATTCAACCTTATTTAGACACTCCTTGAAAGCTTATTCTTATTGTGGTAGCATCACATAACAACTCTGATAGATGCCTAAAAGCTTATCCTCCTTTTTGTTACATCCTTCAGTCCTATTCAAGAAAGGAACCGAAAGGAAATGTTTTCCTAATCACTTCTGAAAATCACGAACTTTCAAATCTTCTAAAAATATTACCTTGTCAGAAGATTTCGTTAGCGAATCAGTGGTTGACGATCTGCTTCCAAAGACATCACTATCGGCGCTAGATCGCTTTGAGAGCTGTTCTTTCGCGGGTATTACTAGAAACACAACGAACTACAATTTTCCTAAATACAAACCAATCCATCAAAATATGCTTAACTATCAAACGACACCAGCACATTTTATGAAACTCATCTTAGTAGCTTTCCAACCAGGGAATTTTAGAGAAGAGCTTCGTACATGTACAGGACCCCCTCCAATCCTGTATAGAACAGTGCCGATTTTCCGCTCTCCCATTTTCCAATTCCTAGGACTGCTTCCCTTTCCACGGTTCGATAAATCATCAATCTAATAATGACAACTAAACCCATGTAATATCCATTAACACTCTTTACACCAAATAAACTCCAACTACGAACTCTTTTTAGACCCGTAGGAACAGCTCTCATGAGTCAAAATATTACCCGACACCATAGATGGGCTTTAAAGAACATATAGATTTGATATAAACGCACTGAACTGAATCTGAAATGTCCATCCATATATGTCCAGGGATCTCTCTATCCAATATTACCTAGCAAAGATCGCTAAATTGAAATGCAGGAAAGGGAGGGAATGTATTCCTTCAGAGATGAGAGTAAGAGTTAATGAAGTACTGTTACCTCGATCAGTTTTTTGCACAGCATCGTACGGAAGATAAGAACTGTTCGTATCATTACCCGTAAGCTCATCCTTACCGGAATTCGTTTTTAGGTTGCTCAAATCGCCAGAATCCTCATCCTTGCCAAAGGGAGCTTTTTCTACCTCCTTGCTGGTTTTTCCAATGCTATGCTCTCCACCCCAATCACTTGAATGCTTTTTTCGTTTCTCCTTATCCCTAAAATCCTTGTCACGACTTTTAACCTTCTCTTCCACGGCAGTTTTTCTGTCATGATGTTTCGCTCTCTCCTTTGTTTCACTCGAGCACCTCGTCTCTTTCGAATATTTCTTCGCGACCTTTTCCGCACCTTTCCTATATTCCTCGTCTTTGTCGACACTCTTCCGCTTACGTCGCTCTTCAGATCCACCAACATTCTCCACATTCTCCCGATGCTTCTTGTCATTCTCTGCACCACAACTATTCAAATAAATATCTCCCGATCTCATCCCAACCATTCCTATCTTCTTCCCTTTCCCCTTCCCCTTCTCACTTTCACCACTTCCCCTTTTTTTCCTCTCATCATTCCCCTTCTCCTTTTGTCGATTTTGCTGCATCCCTTTCTTTTCATTTACTATTTCCAGACCTTTCTCGTCTCGCTTGGTTTGATCTTTTTCCTTCTCAGGGGCCTTCTGCACATGGTGTGATCCTTTTTCTCGCCCGTTCTCCTTCACCTTCTCCATGCTATGATGTCGCTCCTTTCTTTTTTCTTTTTCTAGCTCTTTGCACTTCAGCTTTCCTGAAGATCGGTCTCTGATAAACAGTTTTTCTCTGTCAAATAGTAAAACACCTACGCTTAAATGGATTCTTTTTTTTCCCAACTTTGGTTTAATTGAATCCGACTCCGCTTCAACATTTACCTGACCCGGTTTCTTTTTAAATCTTTCAAAATTTCGCTTTAAGGACTCCTTCACTGGCCGTCTTTCATCGGTCAAAAATGTACTGAAAATGTCCCTAGGTGCTAACTGTCCCCAATCTTTTGACATCATACCTTGGACATGACTTTCACTATTTCTTTCTTTCTCCGCGGCTTTGAATACTTTCTCGGTTGGATTAAAAGCAACAGCGTCATGGGGATCGAAGCAGCTTCCCAGAAAGTCTTTCTTCCCATTATCCATGCGCAAACGCTTACCCATCGGTTGCTGCACATTTCTTTGTTCAAATTCAATATCTGCCTTAGAAATAACTGGGCTGAGGGCTCTCTCTGCTGGTCCTTGTCCACCTGTGAGTCCACTTCCCCTGAAATACTTATCTTTATTCTTATCAAACATATGAGATTAGAGCAATCTACTTCGAATCTGCAGGTATCCCGAGTCCTGCTTTGCTCAGGAAGTGCTGAGAGCTAGCCATTTTGCTAGACGCTTAAATTAATAGGAGGCATAAAGGATAAAGATCTTATATACATAACCTGCTTAAAACTGCACAGGAGATCCACTCATCGAAACTTCCATGTTTCTGTTGGGTTATTGAAGTAGTATAAAACCATGGTCAGTGACTAGAAGATTGGTTGCAGCACTTCCCAACAAAACATGATTTTGTAGGTCCAAAAAAAAATCCGTTAAAAAAAGACAACACAGCGAAGGTGGAAAGCGGCATACTAGATAAAAGACAACGTACAATGGTGTGAAAACAATACTGGTTTGTTTCCGTGTACCATTGAAGACCTTAAGATAATGACCGGCCTTAAAGTAATGCACGATAGGAAGTAAAGGGTAAAACTTTATTTCCAAACATTCAATGCGAAATTTTAACATGACACAAAGCACCGGTGCGTTATTTTAAAGTCCTCTTGGCGTGCTGGGCAGCGGGCAACAGCCTTTTCATTAACAGCACACAATTACTACGAACGCAAATAATGAAAGCTCTTAAAAGAAGCGAGACAGCGCCATCACTTCCCAGCAATCAGAGGGCACTAAATAGTAACGCGTACAACTTATTCAGATAAAACACCCAGACATCTGATCATCAAACTACGACCAGTTAAGAGTACCACTCCACTTCCCCACTTTCCGCATTTCATTTCTTTATGAACAATGATACTTTGAAGCATGTTGAATATGGTAAAGCACTACTCGGAGAAAATATAAAGTAACTAAGTAAAGTGCTACGAGAATAAAAACAAGTAGAGTTGTATCTGTTGTGAACAAAACTGATTGCAACAAAGTAAAAATTAACCTAAAATATGACAACGACAGGTAATAAACTTTAGCAAAGGATGAAAATGTAGCGAAATGCGTAAAGCATATTCATTACATCCCCATCCTACATTTGCTAAATGTCCTTCATGTCCTTCATTAACGCTGAAGAGACATAGTCATGTGTGAAGAAAAGCTTTGAACAAAGATCTTTAAACAGATTGAGATCTTCATGACCTTAGTGCACAGATGATCCTGAATTGGTGGTTACGACAGCGTAGTTTGAAGTAAATCGTGTTTAGGCAGAAAATAAAGAAAAGCAAAAAAATAAAAACAAGAGGTATCGTAACAAATTATCGATTAGAAAAAGACGAAATGTATATGCAAATAACTAAAACAGCAAACAGTTACAAGATTTCTAAGATTAAAAAAAAAGCAAACGAATAAGGAAGCGTGGCAAGTAAAGCAAAGAGACAATGAGAACATATTCAAAAAGCTGTGGATGCAACAAAATAGCAAAGCTCTAAAAAATGTAACGGTCTACCTTTAAGAACTTAAAAACGCAACTGCATCTTCACATAACTTACTCTTTAGTTCCACAAGTTCTTGCTTTCAGCGGCAATTTTGGCAACGCTTTCAACTGAAAATTTCACTGTCAGTGAATAATCCAGTTCCTTTAAGCTGGCACTCTTTACAACATAACTGATTTTATATGCAACATTCGTAAAATAACCAGTGGCGCAATAAAAATAAAATTAGCTTTTGACACTCTTCTTAAAAAGACGCAGTTATTCAGCTGAATAACTGTGAATGAATATTTCTATTCGTTTAGAAGTACAGTTTTCTTAAGTAAAAAATCAATGGCCATACATTATTCTGGTATTAACACTCGGTGATCGATTTATCTCATTTCTTGTAGCTTAATAAATAAGTGTAATTGAAAGGAAAAATCAGCCATAGTAAGAGTTAAATTTAAATTGTAGAAATATTACGCGAATGGGTGAAATGAATAAAAGTTACAAGTAACCTCATTAACTAATAAAAGCAATTTTTCTTAATAGTAGTATTCAACTCTTCCAGCCCTCCAAACTTAGTCAGTCTCAATAATTCATGAGACCCAAAATCTGGTCATATCAATCTGCATGACTTTTCATCTTCATGTATTTAAAAAAATATTTTAAACTCCCGAGATGTGTTTTTGCTATAGCGAAGAAGGCTGCAGAAACAATCCATATTCTAAACTGATTCATACTAGTTCACAGCTAAACTATTCAATAACAGTGAAGACGTGACGATAAATCACAACAAAAAAAAAACGAAAATTTGTCACAATGGAAATTCATTTTGAAAAACGTAATAACCTCTGCTTTGGTCACTGGCTGCCGTTTTCTGGGCTTAATATTTACATCAGATTTGAGAGATGTATGTAGTGGATTTGTCATTTCTCTATCCTCTAACTTATTTGCAGATTGCATAACCTGAATGTTTTGATCGACTGATGAGGGGATACTTCTCTCTGACCTAAAAATACTAATAAAAAGTAGCAATTGGAAAACTAAAAAAAAGTAACCACTGAATACAATATGCAACATAGATAAGTACAGAAAAACTTGCAGTTGGTCAGACGACAAAGAAGAGGTCAGGATAGTCGATGTTGTAGATACTGATGGCGAAGCATTAACGCCACTTGAGTTAGATCCAAATCGGATTTTTAGTTTAGGTATTTTTGGGGCAGGCATTTCATCTCGCACTGTAACAAATTGTTTAAGGAAGAAAAATTTTTTTATAGATATCTGTATAGCGCTTTGTTCAATGAATAATTTAAAAAAAATGATGAATTTTTAGTTGAAAAATCATGATTTCTACCATTTGAAAGACGGGAAGAGTTAAACGACTAAGAGTGTGCGGAATCCGATCTGTACAATATGAATATAAAAAATGCAAAGCAATTCTGCAAGACCTACGGATATGCTCGCCAGATCGCTTTAAGCAAAATTTTTCAGGCCTTGGTTTGATATATTTCTTCTCTTTGTCTTTAGTCCTGCTCTTCTTGTGCTCTTTGTACTTCTCTTTATCCTTTCGTTTGTGCTCCTTGCTGTGGTGTTTATCTCGATCTTTCTCCTTGAAATCATTATGTGAACAGTAATTCGATAGCACTTTCCAAGCTGAATAATATTAATCCACTGTAACAATAAAACTACCTTTCTATGCTTCTTTTTCTCACAAATACTTTCTGCAATTTGTGGTTCATCAACTGAAGAGGGAGTTATACTTGCAGCACCCTGCACACTTCCTGAATCGCATTTCTGCTCCACCTCTTTGACTGCTCGTTCAGTGCCACCTAAACAAAAAATATCAAAGATGCACGATGAAGGAGATCAAAAAAGACAACAATAGATATAAGTCCGTACTGGAAGGTGACAATGCAGTGAATATTTTCTGTCCAGTTGGCCTTGATAAAACCACTTTGAGTGCCTTGATATCCTCTGAAAAGAAACGATTTCCTTGAAATGATACAATAAGAAAATGCAATCCTCAATTAATATTCAAATCAGCGCATTGCATCTCGCATTATTTAAAATAGCAATCAAAATTAGTTCCAAATCTCAATATGTGTTGTAGTAAAATGCGCGGCCTCAATAAAAAAAGCAAAGAAAGATAGGATATCCTAAAAGTTTGAGAACAATATAAAAGCACTATTAGTTATCAAGACATAGGTTGATTCAGTAATATATATCTTAATTATCTTAAAGAAAATATATAAGATATGGATCTTGAATTCTCAAAAAGCTAATACTTCCATTTAAATGTAATTTAATTCACAATAGAATGTAGTGTGTATTGTTATATCGAACAGTTTTAAAGGAATCAAATATTACGATTACAAGTGCACAGAAAGAAGGAAAGAACAAAAAAAAAAATGATGCATAAATTCTTGTTATAAATCTTCAACAAGCTCTATTGATGAAAGATATAGATAAAAATTGAAGACTTACGAGACAGAGTTGTTGAGTTTTTGGCGATATCATCAATAACAACTGACAAAGAGTTCTCTACTGCTGCCTTTCTTGCAACTTTTTTCCGTTCGCAACCTTTTTCTCCAGTTTTGCGTTTTTTTAAGTTCCCTTTAGCAATTTCGACTACTGTGCTTCTGCTTGGATCTTTTTTATCATTTTGCTGAGCTCCATCCTTCATTCCTTCCTTTGCTTTCTCTATAGCATTACTGCCATTCCTAATACCATCTTCTACATCACTAGCGCTACAAATCGAACTCTTATAATTTGCCTTATAGACATAGGTCTCTAGAACTTTAACATGAAAAGAGAATTGTATGAAGTTTTCCAATCCTGAACCGAAATATAGCAAAGATGACCAAGCAAAGAGCGCAATAATTCGTGAGGGAGAATAAGAAAGTAACGTTTCAAACAGACTAACTTCAAAACTGAACGATTTAAAGAGCGATACATTGAAACTCCCAGAAAAAACGGAACTGCTCAGCGTCAGAAACAGCAACACCAATGAAGGCAAAATACAACCGCACGACGCTTGCAAATATATACAAATTTTTTGATATAGGACACTGGGATGTCCTACATTTGCATATATAAAAAATTTGCACATATTACAAGCAGTTGAGGTAAAAACAAAGCTCACAGAAGTCGTAAATACTTGTTTGTTTTATAACTATGAAAAATAAGGGATCGATCAGTAAATAAAAACAACACGGACTATTTAACTGGCATACACTAAACATACCTGTTTGAGGAATGTTGCGGTACCAATATTTGAGTCATTTGCAAACCAGCATCGTTAGTACTGTGATCATCATTTAATCTTAAGTCCACTGAATGGTCATGCTTAAGTTTATCAACATTTTCCTCCTAAATAAAATGAGACGTTAACTTCCTTTTACAGCTGTAACAGTTAAAAGCATAACTTGAAGTCCCATTACTTTATTTGTGACTGTACAACATTTTGCTTTATTTTATCAACCGTCCGGGAATCTTAAACCAACGTTTATAAAAAAAATGATTTATAGCAAAATATTGTAATTCTTTACCAAATGATCTATGACATTAAAAAACAAAAAATATGAAAATATATTGACGAAAAATATTATGTAACTTTTACGCAAACTTCTATGTCTTCCACTTTCGAAAAGATAATGCGAAAAATGAACCTCTATAAGAGATTTTTCAGTCGTAACATTATTCTCCAAATTAATCATATCTCGCTCTATTTGTTGGCTGAAATACATCAGATGCGTACTGTCCACAAAGCATGCACATCCATTTAAATATTTTGCAGAAACGGTAACTATCCATCTTCAAGCTATAATATAAGTCAAAAACGAAACTTACTGTTCTGAGGAAAGAACGTCTTGTTGCCGGTTCGCTGATTTTTTCGCTGAAAGATTTGCACAGTTCAGAGAAAAGATTAGTCAATTTTTGGAGACTAAAACATTTTTACCATTCCTCAAGGCTAACCATCGCATTTATAAACCTAAGTTATTTCACATTTATCAGATTCAAATAAGAAAGTGAATGGCACCAACCATTAGTGCCTAAAGACCCTGTTAAGTAAAGAACTGATGTGAAAACAAAGAATATTTCAGAGAAACTTCGAGAAGATGTATAATCCAGTGCTTGATTTAGTTTCCATAATAAAATCAGGGATTATTAAATCTACACAACTGTACATCATTACGCAATATTTAGAGTTGATCCTTGAGATGCAATTTAAGTAAAAAATTTTAATGAGTATATCTATTACTTTAAGTGAGTAACTTTAAACTTATCCAGAAAAACTCCCATTGAGATCAATAAGCAAATCAAGAAAAACCAAAAAGTGAAAAATGAAAACATTATTTACGTACCTTGACCATCACTCTTAGCGTCAGTTGAACAGCTCGCATTCATAATTGCCTTCTCATTTGTATGAGATTCAGCCGCCACCGGAATAGCACTACTCGTACCTGGATTTTCTTCCTGGAAGTTTTCTCTTGTATAATGACTGTGATAGAAAGCTTGAGTCATACGCATATATGCTTAACCCCACATGCAAATAAGACAAACATTTTTGTCTTTGTCACGATGCCTTTCTTTCCTTTCTTTAGTTCGGTCTTTATCTCGATCTCTATCTCTTTTCTTTTTCCTTTTCATTTTCTCAGTCGCAACACTCTCCGGATGTACCAAAGCTGATGGCGGCATGCCAAACATACCAATCGATCTCTGCAAACATCAGCAGTTGATAATATGCTTATTTTAAAGAATGACGAAGTGAAGCGAGAAAAGCTATACAAATTCATTGCCTGTAAGAGGAATGAAATCGAATTCAAAGCTAAAAGAAAATAAGGTCACATATGAGACCAATGTTACCTGCGAGAAAGGTTTACTTGGTGTGTCCTTTTCGTTAAGGTTTTCTTTCACGTGATGTCTATCGCAGTGTTTTGAACTACTAGCAGGCTGCAATACCGATAAATAAACAAATAAAACTGCTTATCGACAAAAACATCATTAAGGATATCTCACTTCATGCATTGGCCACTTTCTAAGCTTTGTCCTAGTAGCACTGTTTGTTGCTGCACCCGTCGTCTTATTGGCACTACTTGAAATGCCACTTGGTTCTTCAGCCACTTTTCTGGCCGGTAATTTTTGAGGGCGCACAAAGCCCAATTCTTTAGCTGTCGATCCACTAAAATCAGGAAAAGAGATCTTTGGTTTTGTCACTCTTGCTCTGAAAAATGAATCTCACTATAAAATCTTTTATCTTATAACAAAAGTAAAAATAAATGTAAAATGAGTAAGAGTTTAGTATTCTATTTCACGCTTTATATTTTGCGATTTTCAAAAGATTCAAATCAGACAGAACGTATTTCTTCTAGCATTAGATAAAAAAGGAAACTAATTCCAATTCCCTAAGTTCGAGAATGAAAGAATTTAAACCAAAAATTTCGCTCACCGGGGTATACATTTGTTATTTTTCGCTTGTATCTGTGCTACACTTTTCATTAAAATATCGGCCGCTCGAACTATAAAATAATACATAAATTAACCAATCCGTCAAAGTGTGACAAACATCTCAAAAAAATAAAGTTTCACCTCCCTGATCGGAGCACCATTCTGGATGCATGGCAGGAAAATAACGAGGTATATGTTCTGGTCGTTCTGCCAATTCTTTATCTGAGACTGGTCCATATATACTGAGCAAATTTATCGAAGATTTCCTAATTGGGAAAAGTGGCACCTTAAAATGAGAAAACTGAAGCACTGAAGATAAAATAAGGCGATGAAAAATGGCAATCCAATAACAAATCACTTACGCTGTTTTCAAGAGGATCATGTTGGACCTGCCTCATAAATGCGTGTAATTCCGCTGCACTGAACATCAGTTTTCCAAAAGCCATATTTGCATCCTCAAAGATGGGATATCGTCTACCAGCTTAAAAAAACATATTTCCAAACCTTGAAATAAAAAGGCAGTAATTCATTTACTGAGTGTAATTAAAATATAATATATTCTTGAAGTTACCATGTTCTGCGAATACTTTTGAATCAATCCAAAGTCTCTGCATGTACCGTTTGCAAAGATCTGTTAGAATGTTTAGAACGGATTCATGACATGTTGAAAAACCAATATTATCCATCATCTTTACAACAGATCGTGTAAGGTAGTGCAAGGCATAATCCTCTGAGGGTTCCAGTGAATGGGTTTCGTCCGTTGCAGTGCCTGCAATAAAATTCAAAACGACTAATATCATATATTGCAAAAAATTTGAGAAAAAAATTCGCGAAAGATTTTGGGAAAAAAACCATCGTTAATTTCATCGCACAAGGTCAACGAACCTTGACTTAACAAAGTAGGCTTGTTTGTAGTTATCCAATTCTGATTTTGTTGTTTTTCATCGGATCCCTAAAACCATTACACGGATGTTATCTTCGTTTTGCAACTTGACATGCTTCATATGTCATGCTATCTAAATAAAGCTATTCCTGTGTAGCTAACTTACCTCCTCTTGTGGCTGATCTTCAGCTACCTTAACGCTGTTATCGTCATCCGTTGATGGTATGATCTCACCGACATGATTATCTGTCCCCACAATATCTGTGATCGACATAACGTGACTGATTACTGGCAATCACGTTCAACTTCAATAGTATTCCTCAAGAACAAAATCACTTCCACAAGTCAAATTTTTCAGGAACCTCCAAGTTTTAGTAATGTGAACAGTGCAAATGTTCACTTCCTGTAAAAATATTTATAAATCACGAATCCGCTTGATGAACATATCCCCACATTTTCTCCTTACATTTAACCATCCTGCCGCAGCTTTAAACCAATCTGCCAGATATCGAATCTTTTAAACTTCTCAGCAACGATTGAGAGATATTACGACGGCAATACTATGAAACAGCAGTCTCGTATTTATCATTAAATAGCTGTGAAGTAAAAAATACGTCATCGTAAGTGATAAGATCAACAGCTGAATCCTACAGTCACTTCAAAATTTCCTGACATCGCATAACGAATAGCACAGTCCCCATCCTGACAGGGTTTATTTCTGGTATAACGATGACCTGTTCTCTTTGTCGGTGTTTACTCACGTACACTTATAATTTTTCGAACACAATGGCTGAATTTGAAGATCATGCTCTCTGAGGCATGTTGTAGTGTTAGCCTAACATTGGACACGTATTCTACGTCTAGTACGAAGTTTTCATTTCACTGATATTCATTTCATGTTTTTTATTTTGGGCGCGAAGATGTTATGTGCTGTTTTTTATTACTTTATCCATGCATATGCTGTATTTATGCACTCAATATTGCTTAATCCATTGTACTTTTGTACCTGTCTTTTTCCGATATATATTAAAATTAGACAATTTTCGTTTGAGAAACGTTTTAGTACTTTCTTATCGGCTTCTTCACTGAAATATTTACACGTAGTTTCTCCTCTCTGCAACGTCATCATTACAACACACGTGAGGTGTCAATTGAGCACAGTGATGCGCTGATGGCTAGGACACCTTGTCTATTCCGCAAATGGCATAATATTTGCATCACATCGTCTTGTATTAATGATTTTAAACTAAGTTATAATGGTTAACATTGATGATAAGTGTTTATATTCAATAAGCTATAAGATTATGCGCTGCTGAATGTTTCATGTATCGAAGACTATCTCATATATGTACAAATGATATGATCAGCAATGAGTACTATCACAGAATGGCTTTTGATGTGACCAAGATAATGTCTGCTTTTTTCCATTAGCGATGTTCATCAGATTCCTCTTTACTATTAGTAAACGATTCTTCGAGCTGTCGTAATGTGATTGTTGAGTATCAATTTTGATTGGCATACCATTGAGCCGCACCTCATCCAGTTTGGGATGATAACGATAACCGATAATATCCACAACATCTAATGTAGGCACTACCAATCCTGTCTGCAATTTGTGCAAATATCGTTAGCAGTTTTATGAACGCTATTAATTATTATTCAATAGTCGTGTTCGCGGTGGGGCGGACTTTCTTGTTTTGTATTCTACATTTATTACTAGCTAATTGCAAACTTCAAAAAGCAAGAAGTGCTAACAGCAGTACGGTTTGGAGTGATATACAAAGTAGCCGTGTCAGCACTGAGTACAAATTCGAATAACCAATAAAAGTAGTTGTAAGTTGTAAAATCTTTCACAATACTTTCACCATCATCCCAGTACAGCATGCCAGTTGATTTGCCCGGACCTGAAGTGTGATATCGATCATGCAAAAACAAAGTTTCAATTCTAATTAGCACGA